CAGGGGTGAGCGGGAGAGTTGGAGACATTCGCACCCAAGCGATGAGCGCTCAAGGCCAGCTGACTGATAAGGAGCAAAAGCGAAACACAGCTGCACATTCCAGCAGAAAGGGAAAAAAAACCTTCATGGCAGGACTACCCAACGTGTGTGGAACAGGATCCCCCCCCCAAAAAAAAAACAGGAATTTGCAAACGTGGAAAATGGGAATGGGCAAAAGCCCATAGAGCTCGGAGATCTATTTTGGGGGCTTCTTCACAGTTGTATACTCAGATCTTGTATGTGCGACTGTGTCCCCTACAAGAATAACATCACATGCAGAGCTTTTGTGTATCCTTGCTTTACCATGCTTGCTGATAGTTCTTCCTGGCTGCCGGTCTCCCCAGTGTTGTGTGTGCTTGAGAGGACTGGGGCCAAAATGTGCTTCATATTGGGGAAGAATCTGCAACTGTAAGGAGGACAGAAAACCTGAGGCGCAATAGAAGCAGTTTTTGCTTGAACTTGCACAGTATTGCCTCTAACTTACGTTCGAAACTATAAAGGCGGTAAATATCTAGAGAAATGTATGTTTAGATGGAGGGAAATTGAGCAAGTTTTTAAGCTTCCTGAATTGCTTGGAAGAGAAATATCAATGTATGTTTTTTTTTGGCAATGATAATAATAATATACTTTATTGTCATTGTACGTAGTACAACGAAATTAAAGATGCAATCATTTCAGTTATCTACAACAATATTCATATACACTCACACACCATTCACAACTGTCCCATAATGAGATTGTTTGATGCCCTTGATAGGTGACATTTGAGTATTTCGCTTGTGGGACCCGTTAGCCAGCATTGTGTTGAAATCATTGCTCTCGTTTAAGCTGCCTTTTGAATTATATCAATTAAGGTTCTATTGAAAAAAAATGCATATTTGCTTACCGCGAACTATTATTTTGTTACGGAATTTGCCCTTTCCTGGCAACAGAATTTGAGGGTGGAAGAGCTTAATTTCCCAAACCACTGGCTGTTCCTGTTTTTCAGTTTGGATAGGCAATATGCAGTGTTGAGGAGCAGGTAAGAACATGAGAAGAGAGCCCTGCTGGATCAGGCCAGTGGTCCTTCTAGTCCAGCATCCTGTCTCACACAGGGGCCAACTAGTTCCTCTGGAGGGCCAACAACAGGGCAGAGAGGCCGAGGCCTTCCTAAGAACATCAGAAGAGCCCTGCTGGATCGGACCAGTGGTCCATCTAGTCCAGCATCCTGTCTCACACAGGGGCCAACTAGTTCCTCTGGAGGGCCAACAACAGGGCAGAGAGGCCGAGGCCTTCCTAAGAACATCAGAAGAGCCCTGCTGGATCGGACCAGTGGTCCATCTAGTCCAGCATCCTGTCTCACACAGGGGCCAACTAGTTCCTCTGGAGGGCCAACAACAGGGCAGAGAGGCCGAGGCCTTCCTAAGAACATCAGAAGAGCCCTGCTGGATCGGACCAGTGGTCCATCTAGTCCAGCATCCTGTCTCACACAGGGGCCAACTAGTTCCTCTGGAGGGCCAACAACAGGGCAGAGAGGCCGAGGCCTTCCTAAGAACATAAGAAGAGCCCTGCTGGATCAGACCAGGGGTCCATCTAGTCCAGATCCCGTCTCACACAGTGGCTACCCAGTTCCTCTGGAGGACCAACAACAGGGCAGAGAGGCCGAGGCCTTCCTAAGAACATCCTGAAACATTTTTCGCTTGGACCAGCAGATTTTCAAATGGGTCTACTTCATAATATCACAGGGTTAGGTACAGTTCTAGGGTTGGATCCAGGTGGGATTCCCCCCTGGTGGAACAGAACTTTCCTGCCACTCCCCTCTTATCAGCGGCCCGCTGATTTCCGTCAAATGTTGGCTCCTGGGGAGCAGAGGACCCTCTGAATGGCCCGTGAGAATTACCTATAGTAGAGCTTAAGTTGCAGAGTTGAGGTAGAAGATGGCTAGCAGGGTTCAAGCTGTTGAACCTTGCACTTTATAACCTTTGTTAGGGGGCTGGCATCTGTACCCTCCTTCCACCTGTAGTCCGTCCCATTACCTGACTCTATTGGTTACTAGGAGATGACGTGTCTACCTAGAGGGAGGGGGCAATATTGAAATCTAATCCTTTGTCTCAAGGGAGGCATCTGGTCCAGGTGTGAGGTTGGGGGGGTGCCAGGCAACCTTTGACTTGTAAATAGCCTTAGCTTGGTCCCAAGCTGTAAACAGGAAATAGTCTCTTCAGATGCAAACCAGATCCTTTCAGGGTTATGTGTTAGCTTGTAATTCCTCAGTGGTGGACGACCTGTTGTTTTTAGTCACTCCTTGGCTGACCACAATGGAGTTGCCTTCTTCTTCCCAGGTTGGGTGGATGTGTGTGTGTGTGTGTGTCACTTCATTAGCATATCAGCGCAGACAACCTAGCAGCTTCCAGGTGCAACAGCCACATCAAACAATAGCACACAGTTTCCCCAAACCCATAGGTAAAGGTAAAGGTTCCCTTGCTCGAAAGCCAGTCGAATCCGACTCTAGGGTTGCGGCGCTCATCTCCGTTTCCAAGCCGAAGAGCCAGCGCTGTCCGAAGACATTTCCGTGGTCATGTGGCCAGCATGACTAAACACCAAGGTGCACGGCACGCTGTTCCATTCCCACCGCAGTGGTACCTATTTATCTACTTGCAAATATACTGGCAAATATAGTCCGTGTGTGTATGTGTATGTGAGAAAACACAAATATACAATTACATGCAACTTCCCCAACAGGGGTGTGTATCTGCAGCAGGAAGGAGGAATCGGTGGGAATTTCCACTAGTGGAAAGTGTCGTCAGGATCCAACCCTTTGTCTTAAACATCCTCTCCTTAGTAAATTCAGCGGGGCTTACTGAATAAGCACACTTGTAGTACTGGAGTCATTGAAAGTATCCCAGGTTTGGGGGGGGGGGGTAAATTGAATACAAAGCTCGGTCAGACAGTGGCTGATATCTGGAGGCAGGAGTCGTCGGGGAACTTGGTGTCTTGAGACCTTGGTCCTTTGGGCGGGGGGTGTCGAATGACCGAATTTGGGATTTTAGGCTGGGTTCGTTTCAGGGGAGTCGCTGTGTCGGCCTGCAGTACAGGAGCCAGATTCAAGTCCGGTAGTACCGTAAAGATCAATGAAATTTCCGAAGAGTAAGCTTCCTAGAGTCAGCTCCTTTGGTCAGAGCTTTGACTTTCAGAAGCGTATGCCAGGAGTCCCCAACCTTTTTTTGAGCCTGCCGGCACCTTTGGAATTCTGGCACAGCGTGGTAAGCGTGGCCACAAAATGGCTGCCGCAGGAGGTGGAGCCGGCCACAAAATGGCTGCCACGGCTCACCTTCAGTCACACATGAAGATCTTTGTGTTGCGGTGGCAGCCGCTCTTCTTGCAATGTTTCTTTAAAATCTCAACAGCCAATCAAACTAGGCAGGCGCCTCACGGGGCCCGGCCTACTTTCTTAAAACCCTTGGCCGGCAACGGAAAAAGTGTTAGCGGCCACCATGTTCGGGACCCCTGGCTGATACCCAGGAAAATCGTATTGGTCTTTAAGGCGCCACTGGACTCTGGGTTAAGATTCTGTCGGGAGCCCTAACAGGGCTCCTTGCCGCGTCTGACAAGTCGTGTTTTTATCGTCCGTAGGTTCTGCATGGTGTATTCCGAAGTGCCCAACTTTAGTGAGCCCAACTCCGATCACCTGGGGCAGT